AGGTCTTCTTTAACAAGAATCTGCACCTCTTTCCATTTTCTCAGCTATAAAAGATTTCTCTCTCTAAAAGGACCTTCCTGCATTTCTTTTTATAAGGGTATTTTGTACTTTGTTTGTTCTGCTTTTTCCCTCTCATTGGCATAATCTGGGTATACTAGAAAACTATGGACTTTTATAAACTTATTTATAACTTCCTAATTTTCTTAAATAAACCAGAGCATCTAACAAGTACACTCAAGGTGTCAGCTCAGGCTGCTGTCCTCTCAGAGTTGAACTGGGAAAAGACCTGTTTTCAAGTCCACTCATTTTGGAAAGATGGGTTCCTGTGGGCTGTTGACCAGAGGCCTTCCTCAGTTCTCTGTCACAGGGAAGCTCACACATGGTTGTTGGTTGCCATTCGAACAAACAGAGAAGTGACAGAGAAATAAAAGCCAAGAATATGAAAGCCAGAGACTTTTTGTACCCTAATCTCAGAATTGACATCTCATCAGTTTTGCCATGTGTGGTTGGAAAGAACTCAGGAGGCCCAGGACACACTCAAGAGGTTAGGTGGAGGTGGAGGTGACTTGGTGCATAAGAGAATTTGCCCACCACACAGGCCTCCCCCTCTCTCCGGACATTTGCCTCTAAGCACCACAGGACTGGAATGATGTCTCTCTGCTTCCCAACATAGTCCACAACCCGTCACACCATGATGCTCTCAGCAAAACTTCCCTGCAGATAAACCAGCATATGAGTAGAAATGGCCTCTAACTTGGTGTTTCTGCAGACCACACCATGTTCCTTCAGGACATGCAGTCAGAAAAAGCCAGTATGGTTTCTCTTCCATCATCAGAGTCCCTCCATTGATATCACACCCATCTGCAACCATTCTGTGTCCAAATACAACAAACGTCCCCAGTGGCTTCTGATTTCTGCTCATTAAGAAGACCTCATCTTATTCCAGGATATACTATCTTTACTTATATTGTGTTTACCAATCCTAAAGTTTAAATAATTGTGCTTGAGGCCCTTTTCACTTTCTCAGTTTTTCAGTTGATAAACCGAGTTCATATGAGAATGACAGTATTTTGCACCCTGCTACATCCTAGCCACACATTCGTCCTGGCTCAGAGGATTCTGTATGAGAAATTTAGCAACTGGTTTGTCATTAACTGATATGAAGGAAGTATGACAGAAACAAGATGCCAGCCTCTGTTTCTCCTCAAAGTTTAATGAGTAGATGGCCACTCGTGAACAAACACAGCCCTGGGAGAGCTCAGCAGTCCACGTACAAAGCTTCAGCAATGCAGTGGAACAAAACGCCTGAGAATGACCACACAAAGAAAGGAAGAACAGCTTCACACAACGTCCCACCATCCAGGTCAGCACTACTTAGCACCAGGATGGAACACCCCAGCTAGAGAAAGTTGTTACCCTCATGGGAAAGGAGAGAGTAGAGTGTGCAATCAGCTTCCCCAGCCTTTTAGTGGGACACAAGAAGGAACTGTTTCTGCTTCACTCAACTCGGAGGACAGCAAATCTTAGGCATGAACACACGGCTAAAAACAAGGAAGAGGTGCAGGAACTACCAGTATCAGCTGCAATAGGACATAGGACTGGATTCAATGTAGACACAGAGACCAACAGCACAGAGTCAAAGCCTAGAAATAAACTCTTGCAAATATGGTCAATATTTAACAAAGGAGACCATGTTGGTTTGCAATCTCTCGAGCTTCCAGGGTGAAATTTTAACTAGTCCCCATGCACGGAGGCCCAAAGAGAGACCAAAGAGAGAAGTAGATCACTCCAGATTAGTAGGTGGAAGTTTTCATAAGGTAAAGAATTTACATACAAGACTTGTCTTCGGTGGCTGCAACACAAGAAGATCTGCACACTGCCCACCAAATCTTATAAATTTATGTATAAAAGAGGCCTTAACTGGTTTCAGTCATGTACGACATCCAGATGGTCTCAACACATTACAACCTCAAGGCTATATATTTGGACCTGCTTCTAGCTGAGTGTAGGCAAGTGGAATGAACATTCCAAGGAGAGGGGTGGGGCAAGCAGACTCTCGTTCCCCAAGTTCAGCTCTTGGGTTAAGTGAAAGTCACACCTTCTTGATGACCTCCTCCAATAGACCCAGTCATCAGTATTTATAAAACTCCCCAAAAGATTTCAATAAAATCCACAGAAATTACCTGCATCCTCAAAAATTACCTGAATAAATAGATTTGACAGGTGCAAAATTTACATGGAACATTGTAAATTTTGGAAAAGGATGTAGAATTTAAGTAAATAACAAGAGAGTCGTGCATTTCACCTGCATACCACAGTGGTTGAGGAGAACCTCTCATGCATTCATTATGATGTACAAAGGATCCCAGGATGCTCTACAAATTTTGTGAAGGAAAAATCAAAAAAAGTGACATTCCTATGTGAAGCATAGAGGAATGAAAACCATGAGACTAAAAAGGAGTGTGACCAAAGATACAATATTCAGTTTACGTGTTTTGTTTTGCTGTTCCATAGTATAAGCAAACAGACAGGTGAGAGCCACAGGTGGAGAAGACTCTGTACTTTCCATCTGTTGACAGATCTCTCAGAAACAATTTTATAGTAAGAGACAAAGATTCTTGAGTTAGGGAGAAAACCAGAGGTAAAGCCAACAGAATACATGACTATGTTATTGGTGAAAGTGTCAAAGCAGACAAGACGAAGGAATTGAGAAGGGTAACAGTAGAAATTAGAAATTTTTACATCTTTGAAGTAGGTACGTTGTAACACTATCAAATTGTACAGCTGGGAATCCAAAAGACTGACTAAAATGAAGAAGCAGCAGAGGCATGGGTTCATGATGACCGAGTAGTGCAGAGGGTGGCAGATGGCCACAAACCAGTCATAGGCCATTGCAGTCAGAAGCATACCATCCATACATCCAAAAAGGATCAAAAAAGACATCTGAGTCAGGCAGTCCCCATAGGAGATGGCTCTGCCATGAGTTTGGATGTCCATGATCATCTTTGGAACGGTGGTAGAGATAAAACAGATGTCAGCCATGGAAAGGTTAGAGAGAAGAAAGTACATGGGGGTGTCGACGTGGGAGTCCAATCTCATGGTCAGGCTGATGAGCAGATTCCCCAATATGGCAACCATGTACATGGACAGGAAGAACCCAAAGAGCAGAGGCTGAAGTTCCAGATCATCTGAGAATCCCATGAGGAAGAATTCTGAAACACATGTTAGATTTCATGGTTCTATATAGCTTGGACACCTTTTGAAAAGGAAAAGAGTGTTGGAAACAGGAAATAAGTAAGTGGGCACACAGAATTGTTTCCATATTTTGGATTCAAGCAATTGACTTGTGAGTCATACACCCCAGTACCTTCAGCGGTATTTCTCAGTATGACAAATTCTTTCTTCTTAAAATTGTTCTCTTATTTGTTTCTGTGGTATTTATCTCTTTCTATACACACTTACTTGAGAGAAACTTGACTGAAGAGTATCAGAAGAACAAGAATATTTGAGAGAACAAATCTATGATCATAGGAAAATATAGCATACTTCTTTCAAAAAGAAATATAGAATAAGGATTACCCTTCCATCTTTAAGGGTAATAATTCTGATTTAAAGAAATTAAGAAGTAGTTTAAAATATCTTATTTTATACAAATGCAATGCTAGGTAGTCCTTTATTTAAAATATCTTAAATACTCTGTACAAGGCAGGACTGTGTAATCTACATCCAAATTCAGTCAAATGTTCATAAACAGAAAATAATGTTATGTGATAGTTATCTTCACGAATTTAATCACTCTTTGGTTTTCTCTTTCCTCCTTCGCAGAAATAAGTGCTCGCATCTGAGGGTTGTCCTTTAAAATCATTTCTTACATAATACCTATCCTTGGCTTTAGTGTACTTCAAATTTTATTATATGTGGTTTAGTTAAATGCACATAATTATACAACACCAGTGACTACAAACATGGCATTAGTGTGCAAAGAATCTGTTTATGATTAAACAATAATGAAATTTAAGAAACATCTAAAATTTTTATATCATTCAGGGTTATTTTTATCAATCACATACAATACTAGTAAAATATCTGGTGTTTAGGACTGTTCTTTGCTTTTTTTTTTTGGGACTCTTTTCTGAATTTGCATGATAAAACTATTTCATTTTTTTTTTTTTTCCAAGTTTTGTATTGTGCAACATGCTGCTTTAATGCATATACACACTGTAAAAAGATTACCACAAACAAGTTAATTAATACATCCATCACTTTATATAGTTACTCTGTGTGTGTGTGAGTGTGTGTGTGTGTGTGTGTGTGTGTGTGTGTGGTGAGAACTCCTAGGATCTACTCACTTAACATATTTCAAGTATACAATACAGTGTTTTTAACTATAGTCCCCATGCTTTACCTTAGATCTCCAGAACTTATTCATCTTATAACTGAAAGTTTGTACTCTAACCAACAGCTTCCCATTTCCTTCACCCTAGCCCCTTACAACCATAGTTCTACTCTCTGATTCTATGAGTTACATTTTCTTATGAAAATCTATGAGATAATACTGTGTTTGTCTTTCTGTGCCTGACTTAATATCCTCCAGTTTATCTATATTATCACAAACAACAGTGTTTTCCTTTCTTCATGATCTTTCATTGCGTGTGTATGTAGATAGATGGTAGAAATAGATGATAAATAAATGATATATAGATCATAGATAGATAGATAACATTTGCTTTATCTATTCTTCTGTCAACAGATACTTTAGTTGCTTCCATATCTTTGCTCTTGTGAATAATACTGCAATGAACATGGGAGAGCAGATACCTCTTTGAGATACAGATTTCATTTTCTTCATATATATACCCAGAAATGGGATTGCTGGACATATGGTAGTTCTGTTTTTTATTTTAAATATTAATTAAATTGATTGGGGTGACATTGGTTAATAACATTATATAGCTTTCAAGTGTGCAATTCAATAATACGTCATCTGTATATTGCATTTTGTATTCACCACTTAAAGTCAAACCTTCCATCACGATATAATTCACCTCCTTTACCCTTATCACCTCCCTTTTCCATCTTTCACCTCTGGTAACCAATAAACTGGCGCCTATGTCTATGAGTTTAATTTGTTTCTCTTTTTCATCTGTTGCTTTAGTTTTACATCCCACCTATGAGTGAAATCATATAGTTCTCAACTTTTCTGTCTGATTTCTTTTCCTTAGCATTATACTATCAAGACCTATCCATGTTCTTTTTTCTCGGGATTGCTTTTGCTATTTGGGGCCTTTAATGGTTTCATACAAATCTGAAGGTTTTTTGTCCTATTTTATTAAAAAATACCATTGGTATTATCATGCTAAGCAAAATGAGTCAAACAGAAAAAGTTGAGGAACATACGATTTCACTTATATATAGGCTATAAAACTGAATGCAGCAAATGAACAAGACAAATAGAGACTCATGGACAACAGTTTAGTGGTTACCAGAGAGAAGAGGAAGAGAAGAGGTAGATAAGGGTAAAGGGGGTCAAATATATGGAAATGAAAGGAAATTTAACTTTGGGTGGTGAACACAATGCAGTATACATATAATGTATTGTTGAATTATACACATGAAACCTATACAATTTTATTAACCAATGTCACCCCAGTAAATTTAATTAAAAAATAGAGTAAACATACAAAAAAAGTCTTTGAGATTTGATGGGGAGTGCATTAAATCTGTTTATTGCTCTGGGAATATGGCATAGTTAAAATAATTTTAACTATAGCTAATATCATACTTAATTGTGAAAAACTAAATAAATCAAAACTAATTTAATTTATTAAATTAATTGGGTGATACTGATTAATAACATTATATAGGTTTCGAGCATACTATTCTTTAGTATGTCATCTGTATATTGCATTGTGTGTCCACCATCTAAAGTCATATCTCCTTCCATCACCATGTATTTGACCCCCTTTACTCTTATATATCTCTCCCTTCCTCTTTCTCTCTCCTTCTGGTAATCACTAAACTGCTGTTTCTGTCCATGATCATTAGTTTGTCTGTTTTGTTCATTTGTTGCTTTTGGTTTTACATCCCACATATCAGTGAAATCATATAGTTCTCAACTTTTTCTCTCTGATTTATTTCCCTTAGCATGATACTGTCAAGATCTATCCATGTTGTTGCAAATGGCAGTATTTCATCTTTTCTTAAGGATGAGTAATATTCCACTGTATATATGTACCACATCTTCAATTTATTTTAATAATGTCTTGTAGTTTCAGTATATAGGTCCTAACATCTCTTGTTAAGTTTATCCCTACGTATTGTATTCTTTTTGTTGCAATTGCAAAAATAATTGATCTTTTTAATCATTTTCTTCTGATATTTCACCATTAGTGTATAGCAATACAATGGATTTTTGTACATTGATTTTTGTATCCTGCAATTTTACTGTATTTGTTTAATGTTTCTAATAGTTGTTTAGTGGAGTCTTTAGGGTTTTCTACATAAAAAATCATGTTGTCTGCAAAAAGTGACAGTGTGACTCCTTCATTTCCAATGTGTATGCCTTTTATTTCTCCTTTTTACCTGATTGCTCTGGCTAGGACTTCCGATACTACCTTGAATAACAGTGGTGAGAGTGGGCATCCTTTTTTTGTCCTGATCTTATAGAAAAAGCTTTTAGTTTTTCACAATTAAGTATGATATTAGCTGAGGAGCTGTTGTACATGGCCTTTATTATGTTGAGGTACTTTCCCTATATGCGCATTTTATTAAGAATTTGTGACAGACCACAGAAATACGATGGATCATACAAGAATACAATGAAAGACTCTATGCCACGAAATTCAATACCCTAGAAGAAATGGATAAATTTGTAGAAAATATAACCTTCCTAGACGGAATCATGAAGAACTGGAAAGTCTAAATAGACCAATCAGCAGTGATAAAATTGAAACGGTCATCAAAAATCTCCCAATAAATAAAAGTGCAGGACTAGATAGCTTCATTGGTAAAATCTACCAAATAAGAACAGGCAGTACTTTCTAACTCATTCTATAAGGCCAATATTACCTTAATACTAAAACCTGGTAAGAATAATAAATAAAAAGAAAACTAATCAACTAATTTCTCTGTTTAATACAGATGCAAAAATCCTAAGCAAAATAGTGCAAATTGAATACAACAATACATTAAAAATATTATACAACACTATCAAGTAGGCTTCATTCCAGGGCTTCAATGGTGGTTCCACATGCACAGATAAATCAATACAATAGATCACATAATCAAAATAAAGGATAAAAATCATATGATCATAGCAATAGAGGTAGAAAAAGCATTTGACAACATACAGCGTACCTTTATGGTACTTCTATTTTAATTAGTAATTTTTAAATTTTTAAGGATCCTCCATACGGTCTCTTGTAATATCTGTACCAATATTCATTCCCACCAGCAGTGCCCATGGGTTCCCTTTTCTCCACATCCTTATCAACACTTGTTTTTTCTTTTTTATAATAGTCATTCGATTAAGTATAAGATGATATCCTAATATGATACACATTTCCCTGATGGTTAGTTATGTTGAGCACCATTTCATATGTCTGTTGGTTTCATTGTTCTGGTCATAAACTCTCTCATTTACATTGAGGAGTTTAGCATCAGGGGAGGCCCCACAGCCAGTTTTAAGACCCACACTTCTTACCTTGCTAACAGATTTTCATGTCAATTTTTTCTGATACATGGATTGCAATTCTCTTATTTCAGCTACTGAAGGTAATTCAGATTCATTATTTTGGCAGTTCACACTATGATTTGAGGAAAAAAGCAAGTAGAACAATGTAAATGCACCCAGGCAGTTTTCTCACTTTCAAAATTAAGATAATAATTTAAACTACCATATATGATTACTGTAAGAAAACTTTTATTGATATTTTATTTTATTTATATTTTTGATTAAGTTTATTGGGGTAACTTTGGTTAATACAATTATATAATTTTCAGGTGTACATTATAATTTGACATCTGTATATTCTACTGTGTGTCTACCACCCAAAGTCCAGTTTCCTTCAGCTACCATATTTGATCCCCTTTACCCACTTCACCTTCCCCCTACACCACATATAGGCACCCTTTACCCCGTCTACCTAGCCTTTCCTCTCCCATCTCCTACTGTCTAGGAACCAGTAGACTATAGTTCATGTCCATGAGTCTCTCTTTGTCCTGTTCATTTGTTGCTTTTAGATTTATATCCCACATATAAGTGATATCATGTGATTTTCAACTTTTTCTGTCGTGCTTATTTCGGCTAGCATGATTGTCTCGAAGTCCATCCATGTTGTCGCAAATGGCAGTATTTCATCTCTTCTAATGGCTGAGTATCATTCTATTGTATGTATGGACGTAGGACACTTCAGTTACTTCCATGTCCTGGTCACTGTAGATATTGCTACTATAGACATCAATGTGCAAATATCTTTTCGAATATGGGTTTTCAAATCTTTGGGGTAAATACTCAGTAGAGGGATGGCTGGATTATATGGTAGATCAACTCTTAGTTTTTTGAGGAACCTCCATACTATCTTCCATAGTGGCTGTACCAATTTGCGGTCCCACCAGCAATGTATGAGGGTTCCTTTTTCTCCACATCCTCTCCGCATTTCTAATTACTTGTCTTGTTGATGATAGCTATCTAACAGTTATGAGATGGTATCTCATTGTGATTTTCATTTGCATTTCCCTAATAGCTAGCAATGTTGAGCATCTTTTCAAATATTTGTTGGCCATTTGTATGTCCTCTAGGGAACAGTGTCTGTTCGGGTCCACTGCCCATTTGTTGATTGGATCATTTCATGTTTTGTTGTTATTGAGTTGCATGAGTTCTTTGTATATTTTGGATATTAGGCTGCTATCTGAGCTGTTGCTTCCAAATATATTTTCTCATTCAGATGGTTTTCCCTTTACCTTGTTGATGATTTTTTTTTCTGAGCAGTAGCTTCTTAATTTGATGTAGTCCCATTCATTAATTTCAGTTTCTCCTTCTCTTGCCTTTGAGGTCAAATTCATAAAATTCTCTTGAGTTTTGTTCCTATTTTTTTCTATGCATTTTCTTGTTTCAGGTCTTATATTCAGGTCCTTAATCCATTTTGAGTTAATTTTTTTATGTGGTGATAGATCCTGGAGATTTTTAAACTACAGCTATATGAGTTCCAGATGCACAGGTTTCAATTCAACAGCTCTGGAGTCAGCGCTGAACATTTGCATTTATAAGCTCCCAGATGATGCTGACAGTGCTGGTTCAGGGACCAGTGAGGGAGTTGGAAAAAATAGAAGAGAATAAATGATGAAAAGTTTTCTAGACCTTGGCAAAACGTTCAGATTTTAGTTTAAGAGCAACACAAAATGATTGGAAGTTTTAGATAGAGTAGTCACAATTTCTAATGACTCCTTAAAAATCTATCTGGCTTCTATGTAAAGAGAGACACAGTGAATATTTGGAAGCCATTTAGAACAGTCCTGCAAGAGCAAAATGTTTATATGAGCTGCTTTTGAAGAATGGGAAAGCAAATCATATAACTAAGGCAGTGTTGCTCAGGTAATTTAATTACTTCGATATGGGAGAAAGGAGAAGAGAAACTACAATGACAAGATTCTATGGAGGTTGGGGAAGCTAGTGACCTAAAAAAGAGTAAATTTCAATTTCTGAGCATCTGAGCAGCTACATGCTCGTGGATTTTGACAGTGGAAACAAGAAGAGAGTTAAGTAGGGTGTCTGCCAGCATGCAGTGACAGGTCTTTCTGCTATATGCTGTTGCCCATCTGTGTATCTCTTTATTTTAATGGACAAGTCTTGGAATACTCCTCAGTGCTTCAGTAACCTGTTGTTTCCAGAAGACCAGGAGCATCCTTACTGTTAAACACTGATTGTCCCTGCGCTCAATGCCTCCAAAACCTAATGAACAGAGGAATCAGGGGACCCTGATCAAACTAGTAACCAAAATCAGAAGAAAGCATGAGCTTATGATTGGACCATAGGACCTCTAGAAATTTGAAGAGGTTGAAAAAGGCCAAATAAATTA